GTTCGAAACGCCTGAGCGAAGGGGAGCGAGACCTTCTACATATAAATATGGAAAAATTTATTGGCACGCTGAACGTACATTAATATATATAATAGCCGGCATGGTGGCACATGCCTGTAGTCCAGCCTACCCGGAGGCTGAGGCAGAGAAAGATGGTCACTCGAGCCCAGGGTTGAGGTTGCTGTGAGCTAGGCTGACGCCACGGCACTCAACTCTGCGCTGGGGCAACAACGAACTCTGTCTCAAAAAAAAAAAAAAAAAAAAAATAAAGGTAATTTTAAACAAAATGTACTTCAAGGCATTTCTTATAAGAGATAGCTAACCAAGAGGAGATTTGAAAATCAAGTGAGAGTCTCCAAATTGATCTTTCTGTCCTCCTAGTTTTCACTACACAATAAATTTCTTAAAAACTATGGTTTTCGATCATATCTTTCTTCAGTTTGAGAAACTGAATGACTATATTTATTATTATTATGGAGAGAACTCCAAATTTTTCAGCTCTATTCACTTCTTAAAATATATGAACATACACCTGACTCCAATTTCCTTCCTGTTTTATATCTGTACTTCTTGTTCCTTTAGAGACTCCATAGCTTAGCTTTTGTCCTATAGACACTTTTGGTGTGTATATAATTTACTCTATGCACTTACAAGAATAATATTTTGTCTTTCTCTTATGTCTCTTAATGTAGAAAATCAGGATCCTCCTAAAATCAGATACTCATTTAATGTCTGGTTTGTGTTATTATGATTATATATAACTCTATTTCAGCAAGAGAATCTACAAATCAGATTAGGGTGCCAAATGTTTATGACCATGTTTTCTTTCACCCTCAATTCATTTTTGGTGTATGACTTATACCTTCAGAGGACTGTCCAGTTACCCTGTGTATTAATCCCCGTGAACATGCATTTATGCCTGAATCACTTGTTGCTGTATCCTTGTCCCGTGGCAGTTCTATTCCAGTGTATGTTCTATGTCTGCTATTCCCTCTTCTCTGTTTTCTCTAATAATGTGGCGTGGGATATGTAGTACTCTAATAAATAGTTCTGTATATGTTATATGAGGCATGGATGAATGAATGAAGTAAATGAATAAATGAATTGACTCTATGATTATGTAAAATCATGGTCCGAATCATAAATCTCTAACAATCCAACAATTAGTTTATCATTTTATTTGTGGTGTCATAAGAAAGCGAACGAAAAAGAAGCGCAATGTCAATAGTAAACCTTAAACCGTAAATCTGACTGGTTTTAGATCAGAACACATGTGATAGGCATATATGTCTTGAGACTGGTTGTATGACAACATCACGCTTCTACAATGTTCTGCCTTTCTCTTTCATTATTCGATTTATTTTTTTATTTCTGGATATTATGGGGGTCAAATGTTTAGGTTATGTGGTGTTGCCTTCCTTCCCCCCCTGCAGTCAGAGGTTTAAGTGTTGTCCATCCCCAGATGGTCACCTTGCACTCATTACAGTTATACTGTTCCGCAAATTTACAGGTGGGACAACTGAGATTCTGTACCCATTGTAAATATATATCGCCGTCAGAAGTCCGTGAGAAGAACTTCTATACGTGTAGAAAGCAAGCATGGAGCTGACGGAGCAATGGGATACCGCTCAATCATTTTCACTGCTCCTCCCGCAAACTCAAGTTGAAACTTGAAGATGGCAAGAGTTTGTTTGGCATTCGGCTGGCGAAATTATATCCTTTCTCAGCAGAGTGTTCATAACTTCACCCTGAGGCAATGTCATGCCTTCAAGCTTGCACTTATGTACGTGGATGCGTAAAAAGAATGGTGCAGAGCTTCTTCCTGTGCATTCTGTCCCCATCGGTATTGGAACTCTGACTGGGATGGACTCCCTGAGGTGATTCGTGAAGCGATGTGAGCGCGCTTGCTTGTTTGTGTACTGAAAAAGTTAAACTGTGTTTGACTTCCACTGGCAGGAAGTTGATACGAAACGCAGAGAATTCCGAAAATCAGGGGAAATTGTGGAGCTCACAGCTTACCACTAAAGTGACCTCTGAGACATGAAAGATGCGCTGTTTCGGTTCTTCTGCAGCCTTAGCTAACACTGCGCAGCTGGTTCACAATGGTTATAGTGATGGCAGTCTCTCAGCTGAGCCAGGTAGTATCGCCATGACTGGAGTGGTAAGCAAGTTCTGCGAGACCCAAGCTTTGAGGGGAAAATAACACATCCCCTGAAAATAAGCCCTAGGGTGTCTTCTTGAGGAAAAATAAATATAAGACCCTGTTTTATTTTGGGGGAAACACGGTAGGAATAACATTTATCGGACAGGGGCAGGTGGGAGGGAGGGATGGGGTGGGCATATACATACATATTGAGTGCCATGTGCACCATCTGGGGGATGGACACGCTTGAAGCTCTGACTGTGGGGAGGAGGAAGGCAACACACGTAACCTCAACATTTGTACCCCCATAATATGCTGAAACAAACAACAACAACAACAACAACAACAACAACAAAAACCTTACCTGTTGCCTAGGGAAGCTCGGCTACACGAAATAGCACTTAGCTTTCACAGCAGATGCCCTCCGCCCACCTTATTCCACATCACCCCTTCCAGATGGCAGTGACCGTCTCTGTCTCTGCAGGGACAGTGCCCCAGGAACAGGGAAGCGGTACCTGGCGAGCTGTGTGGCTGAGTTCCGTGGCGATGTCACAGCCCGAGTTCCCCAGGCCAACCACCAGGACTCGCTTTCCCTTGAACGCGCCCGGCTCCTTATAGTCCCTGCTGTGGAGGCATTTGCCTTTAAAACGTTTTAGTCCTGAGTGGAAAATGGGAAACACATGAATCAGTCTGATTTCCTTTAAAAAACACCAAACTACTTTCACAGAAGTGACCTTGTGAGTGGATGTACTCACAATAATATGGAATTTTAACACTCCAAGTACGTTAGATTTAGAAGAAGTATATTTAAATTTAACCTGTTTGTACTTTGAGAGGAAAAAAATAACATTATTAAGGTATTCATGACCAGCCTGAGCAAGAGCAAGACCTCGTCTCTACTAAACATAGAAGAAATTAATTGGCCAACTAAATACATATAGAAAAAAAATCAGCCGGGCATGGTGGCGCATGCCTGTAGTCCCAGCTACTCGGGAGGCTGAGGCAGGAGGATCGCTTGAGCCCAGGAGTTTGAGGTTGCTGTGAGCTAGGCTGACGCCACAGCATTTTAGCCCAGGCAACAGAGTGAGACTCTGTCTCAAAAAAAAAAAAATAATAATAATAATTCATTCTTACCAGATGTATAGATGGCAGTTTGAATTTCAGCATTTTGGCCTTACCTGGAAAGGACTCTTTTGGTATGTTGGGGTACACATGATGTCCAGAACAAATCATCACAGCATCAAAGATAGCTGATTCTTTTTTGCCATCTTTTTCAGTGATAACCTCCCATTGGCCAGTAATTGAGAAATTCGGGCACTTATTTACACGGGACACAAGGGTCTAAAAGAAATATAGAAAGAAACCTTCTTTTGTGAAGGCACATATTATGAATTTCAAATTCCCTCAAAATAAATCAAAACACTAAATACACACACACACGCACACACACACACATCCCTGCATGGTTTTTTGTGCATGACCAGTGTTTTCTGCAGTACAAGAGTGACATGTCTAGGAGACATGACAGTGAATTTAATTATAGTGTACAAGAGGCGTGCACCATGTATAGTAATTGGCGATCAATAATTTTTGTAACAATCACTTTGTAACACCTCTCTAGCTATTTCTTTTTTTAATATTATTGTTGTGTTAAGATAAAAGATATCCTCTATAGTTAGGATGAATGTTTTCCTCAAGCTTTAGTGTGTATAAGAACCATCTAGAAAGCTTGTTAAAATACAGATTCCTGGGTCACATTCCCAGATGATTCAGTTCAGTAGGTGAGCAGCAGAGCATGAAAACTTAAGTTTCTAACACACTCTCAGGTGATGTTGATGCTACTTGACTATACCCTGAGTAGCTCTTGACTAGATTATCAATAAATATTTATTCACAGCGAAACGTCTGCCTGTTAGTGTGCTTCCTCTTTTAAAAAAAAATCTTTTATTTCTTCTGGTTATATTGGAAAAAGAACCTCTATTTGGTATTAATTGTTCTTAAAATTTTATTATGTAGTATTTCATACATATTAGTGACTATAAACACACATGTAACATTTTTGATACTTATGAAATATAATAATAAATGAGCTCTTATGAATTAATAGGATTTTGCACATCATTTATTTAGAATAACTCTGATATTATTTAGTTATGCTATTGCAAATGACATCTTTTTTAGATTATAGTTTCTGTTTGTTGCTGGTTTACAGAAATTTAATTGATTTTTATATATTGTTTTTGCATAACACCACCTCGCCTAATTTTTTTATTGTTATTAATTCTAATAATTTGTAGATTCTTTTGGGTTTAGTAGATAGGCAATCATATTCTCTATAATAATGATGTCTTTCTTTTTTCAAGCTATTATTTCCTTTATTTTCTTTACTTAGTGTTTCTTAAATTTCTTACGATTATTGAAAATAAATTGCAATAATAAGGAATCTTTATTTTGTTCTGGACTTTAAAGGGAATGCTTCTGGGCGGGCGCTGTGGCTCACGCCTGTAATCCTAGCTCTTGGGAGGCCGAGGCGGGCGGATTGCTCAAGGTCAGGAGTTCAAAACCAGCCTGAGCAAGAGTGAGACCCCGTCTCTACTATAAATAGAAAGAAATTAATTGGCCAACTGATATATATATAAAAAAAATTAAAAAAAAAATAAAAAAAAATAAAGGGAATGCTTCTAACTTTTCACTATTTAGCACAGCATTGTCTGATAGCAATATAATATGAGCAACGTATGTAATTTTAAAATTTCTAGTAGTCAAATTCAAAAGTGAAACAATGTATAATTTAATCCAATTTTATCTGATATATTTAAGTTTTAATATTTAATCAAAATAAAATCCAGTCTGTATTTTATATGTGTAGCACATCTCAGTTTTGTGACTTAGAGGTACCATTTTGAACAGTGCAGATTTAAGATAATGCTTGTGTATGTTTTGATGATTCAAGAAAAGTCCCTTCTAATCTTAGTTTGGTGAGAATTTTCCTTTTTTGTTTCTTTCAAGCACAAATGAGTACTAAATTTCAGTTAATATCTTTTCTGAATTTGTTAAATAAACATGATTTTCTGCCTGTAACAGATTTTTTGTAGTAAATTATAGATTTATATTTGATATTAAAATATTTTCATATCCTTCAAGCAAACTCGACTCAATAAAGACAGTTGACGGGCATATACATACATAATGAGTGAGATGTGCACCATCTGAGGGATGGTCACGCTGGAGAATCAGACGTGTGGGGGGAGGGGGGAAAGGGCATTTATTGAAACCTTAAAATCTGTACCCCCATAATATGCTGAAATAAAAAAAAACCACAAAAAAACAAAAAAACACTTTGTTGGTTTTGTTTTGGGAGAATTTTTGCATGAATTTTCATGAAGGAGATTGGCTTGTAATTTTCCTAATTCATATTATCCTATCTGCTTTTGATATCAAGGTTATAATGTCATAGAATTAGTTTGGGAATCACACTTCCTTTTCTAATCTCTGAAAGAGTTTATAAAATATTGAAATAATTTGTTCATTGCAAATTTGAAAGTACTCTCCTGTGGAACTGTTTATTTTCTTTATGGGAGGATTTTTATTTTTATTTATTTATTTATTTATTTTTATTTTTAGCATATTATGGGGGTACAAATGTTAAGGTTACATATATTGCTCATGCCCCCTCCCCCCACCTCGAGTCAGAGCTTCAAACATGACAATCTATGGGAGGATTTTTAATTTCTAGGTCAAAGGAACTATAGATCATCAAAGGGCTATTCAGGCTTTCTACTTCTTCCTGAGTGAATTTTGGTAAATTTAAAAAAAAGATTTAAAAAATTTAACCAATGTAAAATATTATCTGGCAAACACTTTTATACTATTTCATCTGCATCTATTTTGTTTACCTTTTAATTTTCAATATTATTTATTTGTGCCTTTGCTAATTTTTTTCTTAAATTGCCAGCTATTCATGTTTTCTTTGTTTTATTAAAGAATAAATTTATCAAAAAATAAATTTATCAAGAATAAATTTTAAATTTTGTTAATATGCTTTATTTTCTATTTTATAATTTCTTTTTATTATCCCCTTCATTCTATGTCCTTTGAGTTTATTCTGCTTTTCTTTTACTAATTTCTTTTTTTTTATTTCAGCATATTATGGGGGTACAAATTTTTTTTTTTTGAGACAGAGTCTCGCTTTGTTGTCCAGGCTAGAGTGAGTGCCGTGGCGTCAGCCTAGCTCACAGCAACCTCAAACTCCTGGGCTCGAGTGATCCTTCTGCCTCAGCCTCCCGAGTAGCTGGGACTACAGGCATGTGCCACCATGCCCGGCTAATTTTTTATATATATATCAGTTGGCCAATTAATTTCTTTCTATTTATAGTAGAGACGGGGTCTCACTCTTGCTCAGGCTGGTTTTGAACTCCTGACCTTGAGCAATCCGCCCACCTCGGCCTCCCAAGAGCTAGGATTACAGGCGTGAGCCACAGCGCCCGGCCGGGTACAAATTTTAAGGTTTCAAATAATGCTCTTGCTCCCCTACCCCCACAATTACTAATTTCTTAAATTTCCTTACCTTATTAGTTTTTAGGTCTTTTTTACTTTCTAATATAAGCATTTATGTTTAAAATTGTCATGAAAATATAGCTCTCTATGCTTCCTACAAATATTGATACTAATATACAGAAGCTACATTATTATCATTTATAAATACTTTTAAATTCTCATTGAAATTTCTTCTTTGACCTATATGTTATTTAGAAAAAAAGAATTTTTAATTGCCAAATTCATGGCTATTTTACGCATTTTTTTTGTTTTGTTATTGATTTCTAAGTTAGTGGAATTTTAGTCTAAGAACCCTCTGTGGTCAAATTTTATGAATATCCCACATATTCTTGAGAAGAAGATATTAATATATTCTCTAAATCTAGAGTTAGAGAGGTCGCACTGTTAAAAATGTTGACAAATAAGAAAGGGATAGTGAAAAGAAACAAATGAAAATCCAACAATAGACGTGGACTTCATTGTTATGCCAACAGTTAGTTTGTTGACAGCATCTTACCTTAAATTGTATGTATTTCAGGAGGTTCTTTTCTTTGGCAAATGCAATAATATATTCCTGGATCTTGCTGTTGTGCATAAAGTTGGGAAAGTCATCAGGATATGGGAAGTCTGGGAAACACATCATCTCCTTGGAAGAGTTGGTGAAGACCGACTGGTAAATGCTAGCTCTGCCCTCTTCTGCATGGTCCTGTGAATGTATAGTTTCAAATGAAAGAGAAATGGTAAAAAAGGGTACTGATCATGTTCGGGGCCAGTCCTAAGTAATTACTGTCATTCCTTAGTATCCACAGGGGATTGGTTCCAGAACCCCTGTGGACAACAATATCTGGGGTACTCAAATCTCTTATATAAAATGGCTTGTATAATTTGCATATAACCTATACACATCCTCCTATATACTTTAAACCATCTCTAGGTTACTTATTAGTATACATAATGCAATATAAATGCTAAATAAGTAGTTGTATTGTTTCTAAAATTTGTAATATTTTTATTGTATTGTTATTTTTATTGTGTTTTTTCCCAAATATTTTCTATCTGTGATTGGTTGAATCCTCAGATGTGGCACCATAAATGAAGAGGGCCAACTGTATACTCATTTGAGTTGGCCTTTATCCACAAGTAAATTCAGTAATATGACATATAAGTTAACTTTACTTAAACAATTAATGCTAATCAAGGGAACTTAGAATATGGAAGAATATATTCTTCTTAATATGTTTTCTAAGGGAAACAAATTTTGAATATCATTATTTTTTTAGGAATATGTAATTAGAATCCTTTTTTTCTTGAGCCATTAAATATGGTGCCAGATATTTCCCAAAATTTATCTTTGAATGATTTTAATGTGTCAACTTATGAGCATGAGCATCTAATGGTCAATTTATAAAAACAAACAATGACAGATGGCTGCTGTTAATAACATTTGTAAATATGAGCATTTTAAAACTTAATCTTTTAAAATTAAGCTTAGAATTTCTACACTGTATAAAATAATTAGTACAACCCCTATGGAAAATAGTTTGAGATCACTCAAAAACTAAAAATAGACCTACCATTCAATCCTGCAATCCCATTAGGTGTCTACATAAAAGAAAAGAAGGCTTTTCATCAAAAAGACGCATGCACTCAAATGTTTATTGTAGCACAATTCACAATTGTGAAGATGTGGAATCAACCCAAGTGGCCATCAATTTATGAGTGGATTAATAAAACGTGGTATATGTACACCATGAGTGCTACTCAACCATTAAAAAAAGGTGAATTAATACCTTTTGCAAACATCTGGATAGAACTGGAGACCATTTTCCTAAGTGAAGTATCTCAAGAATGGATATACAAATACCACATACGCTCACTATTAAACTGAAACTGACTGACGAGCACATATATGCACAGAAGGAAGTAAAACTCAGTGGAAATCAAGCATGGAGGAGGGGGTAGGAAGGAAGGGGCCCAAACTTACCTAATGGGTACAATGAACACTATTTGTGTGATGGGCACAGTTGTAACCAGGACTCAGACATTACAAAAGCAACTCGTGTAACATAAAACATTTGTACCCCCTTAATATTTTGAAATAAAAAATAATAATGTGTTAACTATGATGAACCTAACATCTAGAATTTATAGGCATTGCATGCCTTTTGAGCATTTATGTAGGTAATAAAGATTTAACTTTCAGCTATGTAAAACTATCTGAATTGGCTATACGAACTCTGAGAAGCTATAGAACTATGATAATAAAACTTTAGAGGAGCTATTAAGTGATGACGAAGGAAGAAAAAGAACATTGAAGAAAGAATGATCAGCAATAAGAAGATTGTGACATTGTGTTGTGGTTCTCAACCTTGGCCACACACTGGAATAAACTGCGGAGCTTTAAAAGAAAACAAGAGACGTGTGGCCCCCTCTGAGAAAATTTGATTTAATTGGCTGGGAGTTTTAACAGCTCTTCAGGGAATTCTAAAGTGCAGCCAAGTTGATAGTCGCAGTCCAGAGTTACACAAATAGCAGCTAATGACCAACAAACTAGCGTTACTGCAGAAGAGCTCATCACAGAACACATTTGTTACAGCTGTGAGCTCTGCAAAGCAAGCTGTCGAAGTGAGTAAAAGGCATCAAGTTAAAGGAAAATACTGTTAGGAGCATGATTAGGAAAAGGTGGAATCTTAGTTTAACTCTCTTGAACCCCAAGGCTCATTATGAGTAGGCCACAGGTCTAGGTGGAATGACTTTCTTTCTCAGGAGCTCTCAAACAATAAATTAATAAGTCTAAATTTTGGCCTGAAGTTTCATGATGAAAGGTCAAATTGTAGATCTCTATGTACAGTTGCTAGTTCATAATGGAAGCATTGAATATGGGACATTTCTGATTAGCGTTCACATAACTCAAAGTTGTCAGGGTCCCCAGAATATGAATTTTTAGTATATTATTGTAACAGTACAATCATGTCAAAAGCCAATATGGCTGCAGACTGGTTATAGACAAGTAACTATTAACAAACAGTTAATCAAGTTTTCGCCATGCTCATTTCAGAAAACGATGTGATCTTGATCTAGGGCATGAGTTTTCTGCTGCTCATGTGTTCTGTTGGCCCTGTTAATATGTATGTGGGGCGGGAAAGTAAAGGAATTTGTAGCTAGTGGTGAGTTGAGCAGTTTGATAGAGAAAATAACCAGCATAAGGAGAGAGGGAACATTAAAGAACACGTTGATATACTGTCTAGGAAAAAAACCAGAGGGAGAGTTAATAAAGTGTTGTATGCTCAGAAAAAAACAAACTTCTATTCATGAAAACCTCATGCTGAAATTCAAAAAATTTCCTGATTTATTGTCTGGGGAGCTCTTGAGAAAGAAAAAAATTTCACCTAGACCTGTGGCCCAGTCACAAATTATTTTATTGTCTCTGTGATCAAAGAAAGTGAGAGAAATATGTTATTCTGACTCTTGATCAAGGTTAGAAGTCGGCACTAGAAGGACTTAGGGAAGTGCTATAGGAGACAGCTTCAAAAGTATAAACTAGCTGCACTCTTCATGTTTTTCACACTTGACGAATGATTGGATCCCTCTAAAAGAAAACATAAAAGAATGTAAAATGCTGACTTTAGAAATGAAAAGTCATGGAAGTACAAAATTAGCACAACTACATAACATAATCTCATAATGTGAATACTAGTACATTGCCACAGACTCCTAAGGGTGTTTGAGAAACCCTGCTGTTTATGACATCATTCTCAATCTATAAGTCCCCTCACAGTGGCAACCTCTCAATAACCAGGGATATTAGTTTCTTGTGGCTGCTGTAAGAAATCACCACAAACTTTGATGGCTTAAAAGAATAGAGATTGGATCACGCCTGTAATCCTAGCACTCTGGGAGGCCGAGGTGAATGGATCATTTGAGCTCAGGAGTTCAAGACCAGCCTGAGCAAGAGCAAGACCCCGTCTCTACTAAAAATGGAAAGAAATTATCTGGACAACTAAAAATATATAGAAAAAATTAGCTGGGCATGGTGGCACATGCTTGTAGTCCCAGCTACTCAGGAAGCTGAGGTAGAAGGATCGCTTGAGCCCAGGAATTTGAGGTTGCTGTGAGCTAGGCTGACGCCACGGCACTCTGGCCCAGGCAATAGCCTGAGACTGTTTAAAAAAAAAAAAAAAATAGGGATTTATTCTTTCACAGTTATGGAGGCTGGCGGATGAAAATCAGCATCACTGGGCTGCAAACAGGGAGTTGGCAGGGCTATGAAGGCTCTAGAAGAGATTTAATCCCTTCCTCTTCCAGCGTACGGTGCATGCCAGCATTCCTTGGCGTTTTCAATGCCAAGAGGCCACCTATATTCCTTAGATTGTGGCTCCTTTGTCCAACTTCAAGGTCGGAGCACAGCATCTTAAGATGTCTTTCTTCTGAGGTCATCACATCACCATCTCTCTTCTGTCTTTCTGTGTTAAATCTCTCTACTTCCTCTTTAGAAGGACACATGTTATGGCATTTGGGGCTCACCAAATCACACAGGAAAATCTCTCTGTCTCAAGATTTTTAACTTAATTGTATTTGAAAATGTCCTTTTTCCTGATAAGGTAACCTTTACAGGTCCCAGAAATTAGGATGCTCTATATTTGTCCATTATTCTGTTGTTCAGCCCACTGGCCCCCAAAGATTCACATCCATCCCACATGTAAAATATATGCACCCTATCCCAACATCTTCAAAGTCTCCACCTATTGCAGCATGAAATCAAATTCCAACTCTCACCGGTGTATTATCAGCTCATAAATCCCAAATCTCATCATCTAAATAATCTAAACAAGGTATGGGTGAAATTGTGGGCATGAACCATCATGGGGCAAAGTTCTTTTCCATCTGTGGATCTGAGAAACTAGAAAACAAGTTACCTTTTTCCAAAATACAATGGGGGAAGAGCATGAATGACATTCCTATTCCAAAAGGGAGAAAAAAGAAGAAAGGAAGGAATCACCAATCCCAAGCAATTTTGAAGCCCAGCAGAACAAACTACATTAGGTTTCAAGGCCTGTGAATAATCCTTTGTGCCCTCAAGCCCCTGCCTCCTGGGCCTGAGTTGCTACCCTTTGGGCTATCCTTTCATTTTCTTGAAGAGTAGCACATGTTTGCAGTTGAATAATAGTTTTATTAACCTACAATACCAGGTTCAAAGTCTTCCTTGAGCAGTGAGACAGCAGCAAAGCCTTTTGCTGTATTTCCCAAAGTTTTACAAAGTAAATTTGAATATGAGGCTTTAAGAGCACTGCATAGAAAATGTGGCCAGGCCAAGAGGTCACTTGGTGGAGTGGCACCTAGCAATTTGCAGAGGGATAAAGAATGTAGGCTGGAGGGAAAGGCAATCTGGAATTGGAGTCTTCTCTTCGCCGTTTACCAGCTGTGTGATTTTTTTTTCTTTCCTTTTTAAGCTTCAGATTAATTTGTAAAAGAAAAATAATCATACCTAGCTTCTAGGATTATTATAAAGCTAGAAATAAATGGGAAATCATTTGACAGTTAGGAAGTGCTCAATAAAATAGACCTAAGAGTCATCACTATGCAAAGTTGAAGCCCTGCCAGCCATTCCAGTAATGTAATCAAGGCTCCACAACATCGTACAAGATGCCAGGTGGTTTCCAGAGTTCTTTACAGTGCACAGAATCCCTATGTTAATAAGAATAATATCTCATGTCTATATAGTATGTAAAGAGCTTTACAGATATTGTTTCATTAAAAATAACCATTTTATTGAGGTATATAATATAATACTGATTTTGTATTTGAGGACGACATAGTGGCTTAAAAGCATGCCTTTTTAGAGGGGCTTCCTTAATTTACATATATTAGTGGGCTTATCAGAAGAAAAATAAGACAGATGGGGCAGGCTAGGCCGGCAATGTTCCTAAGTTTAGAAACGCTGATGCAGTGGAGGGCACAGGGAAGCTTCCATTCCACTGTTGTCAGGCAACACAGGAAGTGGTTGAATGAGTGCATATATGTGTGTTTGAGGATAGAGTCTTTATTATAAGTGCACAGAAACAAAAGGGAATTGAAGAACTAGGAAGCACTATATTCTATTCTTGGTTCCGTTGGCAGCTGTATCAATTATGTGGTTTCACACAACCAAAGTTACCCCCTGAAACTTTAAACTCTGTGGTTCAATCACTAAGAAGGCCTCAACAAAACACTAAGGTAACCTCAACAAAAAAATGGGAAAAGCCACTGAAGTTTTAAATGAATAACTCATTTAATTCTAACTGCATAAACCTAATCACTATTTGCCAAAGATTTTATGCCCAAGCGGCCCTCATTAATGATTTGTCGTGGGTGAACTCTGTACGCAGAGGGTGCGAAGCCTATTGTGTAATTCACTTCTGACTTTCAAGGAGGATACTTTCCCGCCTGCCCCTGATGTGGATTCCAAGCCTAATAGGGACAATAGCTGCCATGGTAACAGGTTTGGAAGCCTGTGCTCAAGCAGCATGTTTCTGTGCATGTCCCAACTCACTTCCGTATATTGCAACGATGCCCTACTCACTGAGAATTTCCACAGGCCCCCGATGTCATCGCTCCTCTCAAAGCAGGTAGGCTCCAGCCCCTCTTCCAGACAGCTCCTGATGGAGGCCAAGCCACTGACACCAGCTCCAATGATGGCCACTCTCTTCCCCATGGTCACCTGTGCAAAAGCCCAGAGAACAATTCCAGCAATAGGAGGGCTGAAAACCTATCTATCTATCTATCTATCTATCTATCTATCTATCTATCTATCTATCTATCTATCTATCTATTTGTTAATTTTGGTTTCAGTCTTTGGCTTAATAAGAAACTTCACTTTGCACCCAAGGAAAAAAAATGTTTGGCATTTCTTCTAGTAATCTAACTACATTTTGCATTTCTCTCAAATTTCTAAAGAGATTTTTTTTTCTGAAAAAAGAAGCACTATTTTTTTCATCTAGCTCTCCAAAATTAAGAGTCCAATGATCAGCATATATATTCATCTTCCTTGCCTTGGACCTTTTGTGCTTTTCTTTCTCTGCCAAAGAGAGTGAGCAGGAGAAAGAAAAGGAGATTTGCAACTAAAATGTGTATACACAGATCCAACGACCCAAACATATACATATGTATGGACATGTGAGTGAAAAAGCAAACATGTATGTGTATATATGTGCACACACAGACATATATCTCTGTCTTCTTTCTGCTCTGACACAAGATTTGATAAGGAACAAGATCTGGGGATGTCTGTATTTCAGCATGTCATGTAGTCACCCTCTTTCTCTCACTAGTAATATTCCTCTCAGTTAAATAGAAAAGGCAAGTCTTTAACTAAAAACAACGTCTTCCCATTAGCTGCCACCCCTAATCTCCATTCCCTCCTAAGAAAATTACATTTCCTAGCCTTTTCCTGTTCCTGACACTATGTTTAGGCTCTACTACTACTTCTCCCATTATTGTTTTCTTTTTAGACAAAAATCACAGACTCATGCAAAGAAATAGACTTCAATGATAAAATCGTGACCCACAATTCTCAGAAACAAATGAAGAAACTGCCTGCATTTTACGTCATTCTCATTCTATATTTGCTACAGAACTATAGCATGTTCCTTCTTCTTTTACCAATCCCACTCTCCTCTCTCTCAGCCCTTTATAATATCAACTTTTTTCTGTTTTTTACCTTATCTTTGTCTTCTTTTCTTCTGTATGCCTAAGTCTTGTTCAAGTTGTCTGGGCAGTTTGAAAGAGAAAATACTTTCTGAGCCCACACTCTTGGGGATTATTGGAAAGTGGGAAGAGCTTCTCTTAAAGAGGTAGTCATTTCTTGGTCTTCTACCAGGTGAGCTCACACCACGTCCCCGTGATCGTGATTGGCATTGGGTGGGGAGAATCTGGCCAGTCTCTGTGGCTGTCCAGTTTCTGCTTTTCTGTTGGTTTTGGTAAACACAATCTACTCGTCACACTCCTGGACCCGTGGCCCTGGGATTCAGGTAGTTTCTCCCAAGTGATTTTGGGGTTTTCTATTGCATTTCATCATGAGTTATTTCAAAATTTACCTTATTTTTCTCATTCCTACTTCTTTTGTGGATACCTCTTAGTAGTTCTCCAAACACTAGCAAATTAGCTATTTAATTGAGATAGCCCACCAGCAATGATGGCTTTTCAATACTCTCTCTTTTTATGTCCTCTCTTTTGATATTTGAGGTCAAAGGCCTGTGTTTCTCAAGTTTGCATTTCTTTGTTCCTGGGGACAGTATGTGATCTTGGAAAAGATCAAATTCCATAAATTGATCCCTTAGTTCCAGATAGCAGATGCAGTTAATAGCACTAGGGGGAAGAAGGGTGGATGATGAAAAATTACTTAATAGGTACAATGTATGTTATTTGTGTCATGGATATCCCAAAAGCCCTGACTTGATCACCATGCAATTGATGCATGTAACAAAATAACACATGTAGCCAGTTAATTTTTACAAGTAAAAAAAATTACCAGATAAAATTATGTTGGCAGTAAGACTAAATAAACTGTGCCTAGCTCTCAGTCATGAAATATAGTGAAACTTCTAAAAATTGTTTAGCAATCAACCATATTCCTATATCAGTTAAAATTATGACATCTCACCCATATTAACCATTTAGTCCTTTCATTAAGCAGGTGATATTTAGCATAAACTGGTATATATGTAATTCTTGAGGAATTGACCCTTCATGTCTTTTGGAGATAGGAATTTTCATTTCTGAACCGTGGTGAAGTAGAGAGTCAGACTTCGAATCACTTATAGCCGTGTGGCCTTGGGCAAGTCACTTAACCTCCTCAATTCTTAGTTTCTTCATTAATAAACTGAGAATACTACACTACAATTATCTGGCTGGGTTGTTGCAATGATTTGAGGATTAGAGGGTTTAAACACACACAAAAACACACACACACACATCTGTACACTTATACATATGTGTCTATAAAACTTGGCATGTAGTTAGAAATTAGCAAATCCTAATTATGTGTTATAGGTAAAAATGCAAAAATACCACAGGTTCATTAAATTTTCCAGGGCTGCCATTCAGCCAACATGATTTTATCTTTTCTCATTTTAAGGGCAGGCAGGACCCACCTGATTCTACCATGGCCTCTGACGTTTCTTCTTTAGGAGATGGAAAGGGAACTCTCCTCCTTGCTGCCTTTTGCAGGAATATATTCTATCAGCCGTAGACATTTATTGTCCCATCTCTCTTCAGCCTAGCTTTTGCTTGCCACAATTTTCTGCAAAGCCCCTCTTTCATCTTCAGAATCTAAAATGCCCAGTCCATAGCTGGGGAAGTAGCCACTCCCTGCTTCTTTGTCCCCCCTGAATCCCAAAGCTGTTACAAAGAAACTTTCATCTGTGCACGGCTGCCAAATTATTGTTGCTGCAGGAAGATCTGAGTAGAGGACCTCATATTCTGTCATCTTGCTCCAGATTTTCTTTGTATTTCAAAGAAACTCTTTGTTCTTTTGTCTTCTAATTAACTTTCTAGAGGCAGGGCATATATCTCTTGTGACGCTATGTAGTCATATCTGATAATGTATAATGGTTGAAATGCTCATATAAAATGATGATGGATTTTGCATATTCAGATTTTATTGCCAAAGCTCCTGTTCCAAAGACATGGTCCCTTTATGGTTCATATTCTGAAATAATATTTCAGGAAGGGTTAAGTGCTCAAGGAGGCTTAGACAGTCCATTGTACTCTCTACTACAAATTTAAGAAGCATCACACATGTTTCTAGTTTCAAAGGCAGATGAATGTTGTCTTGATTTTCAAAGATAGGTCTTTTGTATGTTTTTAGTTGTCTATATCATGTACCTGTGGGCCCTAAACCACTGATGTAAAATTATGTAAAAATTCTTCCTTTAATGAGATTTTTATTTTTTTCAATAATAATGATAATGGTGATGATTATGATGATAAAAATAGAATACTTACAGTTTTTCTTAAGAAAAAAGACATATATTATTTGATCTAGCAAGTCTACTCTTGGAAATATGTTCTACAGAAATATAAGCATAAGTAAATTTCAACAAGTTGTGTGAAGAAGTTTTTATTTCAGTGATGTTCAAAGTGTCAAAAAGTAGAGAAAAAAATGACTGCTTTTTGTCAGAGAAATGGATAAATTATTTCATTTCCTCCATGGAATATTCTGCAGGTACTTACAAGCATGAATTAGAGCTATTGAAGATGGCTTGGAGAAATACCACATTAAAGTATTGGAAAGAAAAAATCAATGTGCAGAAAAGTACTCATAATATTGTAATTTCAAAAATAAACAATGATTCTTAAAAATTCTATATAAATGTTAATATAAACACAGGTAAACACTCACTCATATTATCTGTAATGGATTTTGATCAGAGAGAAAAACATGAATGGATATATACCAGGTTGTTAATATGCTTTACCTTGAGGGCTAATCATATGTGAGTAGATGAAAGAGCAAAGACTAAATAAATAAATTAAATAGAAAAAACTATACTAAAAATATTTTGGTAGGGAAAAAATAAAATCTAAATGTTTTAGAACTTAGGTAATAAATGACTACATTTCATCCTGGAACAAACATCAGGTGTAAATTAGAAATCTAAGACAAGGTTCGGCTGTGATTCACTGTGATTTTTGAGCCTTGGATGCACTGTTGAGAAATGTTGACTTAACATTAGATCTAACGATAGGCGTAGAGTGGTTATTTCACTTTTTCTTTTACAAAGGCGCCAAGTCTCTGTTCCTTACATTGCCAATGTTACCCTGGGAGCAAGGAAACCAAAGGGGCTGTGATTAAAGGAAATAAGTGAAGAAGAGCTTATCTTATAACCTGAGTTCCCATCTGAAAAACTTCCTTGACAGTTGATGAGGCTACAAATAACCATAAACCACCAGGAAAACGGCAGCAAGTACCAGAGCTTTCCAGAACAGGAGCCTGGCAGAATAGCAAGATCACTTTAGTGGCTGGCTGGATTTCTGGTCTTGGTTGCTTTGATAATTTGGTGGGAGTAGGGATGAGGGACAAGATAGTCTTTTGGGCCCTATTTCATTTCCCAGATCCTATCAGCTATAACTGGATTGGTATACAAGGGCCAAAAAAGATTTCCCAAGCCAGTTTTGTGCCCAAGGGGAGTAGGGACAGTAGTTTGGAGTTTATGCCAGAGAAGGTGGCCATTTCATTCATATAGTCTGCTGCTCCTAGAGTGATGGGTCAGCCAGGAACACACATGAAGGCAAAAGAGGAAACAAAACAGGAACCTTATTAGCTAATCTTAGCTTGATGTTCATGTTTGCATTTAAAAAAAATAATTTTCAAAATTTACTTTCCACTTAGAATCGAATAATTTTAGAACTTGAAAGAACTCTAAGGGTTAAATGTCTGAATGGTCTCACTATGACTTTTTTTTTTTTTTTGAGATGGAGTCTCACTCTGTACCCTGGGCTTAGAATGCCTTGATGTCAGGCTAGCTCACAGCAATCTCAAACTCCTGGGCTCAAGCGATCCTCCTGCCTCAGCCTCCCGAGTAGCTGGAACTATAGGCACTAACCACCACTCCTGGCTAAGTTTTCTATTTTTAGTAGAGACAGGGTCTCACTTTTGCTCAGGCTGGTCTTGAACTTCTGAGTTCAAGCGATCCTCCCGCCTCAGCCTCCCAGAATGCTAGGATTACAGGCATGAGCCACCGTGCCAGTCATCACTATAACATTTTAAGCATGGCAATTTTTCATTATGTGGGACTATCCTTGGGATTGCAGGATATTTATTAATAGCTTGCCTGACACCTAGTCAATAAATGCCAATGAAAACTCCCTAGCATTAGGAAAATAAAAAAAATAAAATAAAATAAACTGCCCCATACATCTCCAGCTGTTCCTATGGGCAAGTATTGCTGCCACTGAGAACCATTTAAAAGATCAACTGACCTATTTTATTTTTAGACAAAATAAAAATGTGAAGGAGGTTAATTTTTTTTACTGAAATTGTTGCTGACTAGTTCAACAAATATTTCATCATCTCTAACCATATGTCAGGCACTGAATTCGGTGTGAGCATATAAAGATTTGTAAGACACAGAGGACAAAGTCTGCAAAGGAGACAAACATATAAGCAGTTTATTTTTCCATTGCATACATGTGTGTGCACACACACTCACACATAATGTCCAATGTGCTGACTTGCATGACATATTCAATAGGCAAAATATCAGATATGTAAGGTTCATGGAGGGCAGCTGGTAGGAATTTATAACAAGGGAGAATGCATATGATACCTTTCATTTGTATGTTAAGCCACATTCATGTGCACTTTTCATTCATTAATCTAGTAAACGAGTGTCTATTATGTGTCAAATGATGTTCAAAGTGTTAGTGACACCTACCCTCTGACTTATTCAAATGATCTCTTTTGTTGCTGCTTTTCCAGTTTTACCCTTAAATGTCTGACAAAAGTAGTATTTATATAAAATTTAAGACCCCCCCCAGTAAGTTTTGAAAAGAGTTACTTTTCTCTTTCCCTTAGACAATATACATTAAATGAATATTTGCTATTACAGTCGAGATTCTGTAATCTCAGATAGAGATATTCCCCACCCAGCTCCAGAACACCATCAAGAGGAGGAGATCCATCATTTATTGGCCTACAAGTAATACAGAAGCCACTTAAATATTATCATTAAAAAAAATTAAAACAGTTTTGAAATTTCTTTAAAAAATTTAAAGTATATGATAATGTTGCATATTATAATAAAATATTATAGTGATGATTATTGTGGACTTTTATTTTAAACAGTTGATTTGAAGATTTGCATATATTTGTTCATATGAGACCTAATATGTTTGTAAACTAGTTTTG